TTTGCGCCTAGACATCTAAACAAACAACAAACGGAAATGAATTAAGTTATTCTATAAGACTTACATTTTTCTCTTTTCATTTTGGAGCGGTCTCACACGGAACAACCTACCCAGGTAACTTCCAGCTCAGTTATCCCATATAGAGAGCCTAACACGGAGGATTAAATGTAATTGTATTATGTCTTATTTTTTTTTTTTAAATTCCTATTCGGAGGTGTTCAGAACGGATGCAATTTGAAGAAGAAATTTAATGAACAAAAGGAGGGTATAAAAACATTGACTGAAGGATCTTAAGTGACTCCCACTCCTGTTGGAGATTCCTTTCACCTGGAGCCTCCCCCCCCCCACAGAGAGGACGAGGTAATTACTGTTCCTCTGGAGGGGGGAAGGCAGGGAGGAAAGGGGGGCTGGTTCCTCTGCCATTAATCAAACCAGTGCTTCACGGCGGGTAGGTATCGGTTCGCTGCTCACCAAAGGGGCTCAGGTGTCTTCCGTGATCCTTTTGACACCGACTTAAGTGAAAAAAATATTGTCTTTTGCATTATCTCACGATTCGTTTATTAAAATTTATTAAATAGAAATGGGTCGTAGCATTATGTTGTCAAACCTAAAGCCATCCTCAATAAAGTTCTATCTAATTCAAAAAGAATTTTTAAAATCGAACTGGTGGTTTCTTAAATAACTCATTGAAATGGACAAACAAATCATAACAAATAATAAATACGTTTATACATACTATTGATACCTAGGGAAAACTATCTCATTAGATGACTATCTTTAAGACTATCCCTAATGCATTCAACATATAAGCGGCAACTAAAAAACATGCAAAATTTACACTATACAGGATGTCCCGTAAGTATTGGGTTATCCGGAAAATAATACGATTTTGGTTTAAAAAGAGAAACTTACATTTCTTTTTTTTTGTGTTTTTTACACGAACCGGCCACCAAGGACTACGCGAATATCATTTCCGTTTCCTCTTCACACCCTCAGCCTTCCTCTTACTCCAATACTCTCTCATCTTCCTGGACTGTTCCTCTCTCTCTTTCTCTCTCTTCCTTATTCCATTTCCTCCCTCGCCTCTCCCTCCCTCTCCCTCGCTCCCACACACAAGAACCCCAGCCCCTTTCAGTTTTTTCCTAAAAAGCCCTCTTTCCAAGTAATCTTCATCCGTGATTTTTATCCTGTCTAGTTCCTCTTTTATTTGTTTTACATATCACCCCATACTTTTTTAGCTGCAAACTTCGTCAAAAATTTTCTTGTCCAGTCTTTCACTATTCATCCAGACCATGTGCCCGTAGAACCTCAGTCTTCTGGTCCTGACGACTGTTTCCAAATTTCTGTATATTTCTTTATTGGATCTTAGCCTGTATCCCCTCTTGCGTTTACCATGGATCCGTGAATCCTCCTCAGAATCTTCTTCTCAATCTTCAGGATTTTCTCTAGGCTCGGAAGGCTGACTGTTTCCATACCATATAATATTACAGGTCTTGCTACTGTACAGTAATGCCTTATTTTTGCATTTGAGGACAAATTTTTCTTGTTGTAAACATTCCTGGTGGCGAAGTTCAGTCTTTCTAGTTTGGTTATTCTTCCTTCGATTGATGCCTTATCCGTTACTACATATTATCTCCCCTAGGTATTTAAACTTTTTGGTCACTTTTATTTTTCCATATTTTGTGTCTATTATTTTCTTGGTGAAGTTGGTATCTGTTGTTATAATTTCTTTTTTTTTCATAAGAGATATGTAGTCCCGTTTTCTCGGATATTTCTTTCAGAGTGTTTTTACCTGTTTTATGGCTTCCTCTTCTGCCTCTGCTAGTAGGGCTAGATCATCTGCAAAGGCCAGGCACTTTACTTTCACATTGTCCTTCTTTGTTCCTATTACTGCACCTATCTCGTCCTTTCGCCAGAATATTGTCATAATTTTGTCCAGCACTATATCAAAAAGTATCGATGACAGGACGTCGCCTTGCCTAAGCTCCGTGTTTATTTTGAATGGTTCACTTATTAGTCCCTGGAATTTTATTTTTGAAACGGTGTTGGTCAGTGTCAATTTTATCTTATTGTTTTTTGTTGTACTCCGTATTCAGTTAGAACTTGGAGTAATTATCCCTGTCTATCGAATCATAGGCCTTTTTGAAGTCTATGAAGGAGATGAAGACATTTTTCTGGGGTCCAGCCCTGTAATATTTTATGATCAGTTTTAGGCTAAGTATTTGCTCCTGGCAGGATCTGTTATTACAACTGTTTTATTTAATCAAAATAGTCTTCACTACTATTAATTCATTTCTGCCAACGTGTTGATAATTTTTCCATTTCCTCGGAATAGAATTTCCATTGATGAGCTCCAAAAAAGCATTTTCTAATTCTCTTTGTACATTAATTTTTTCATCACGTAAGTACTGGTTTAGGTGTCTAAAAAAATGATAGTCCGTGGACGAGAGGTTCGGTGAATAGGTTGGATGTTGCAGAGTTTCATATCCAAGCTCAGTAACACTAAAACAGTGACGATTATAGGACCTTTTTGGTCTTCAAGGATGAAAAATCGACTCTGATTTTTTTTTAACCACCGTTGAAGTGTACTCATTTTTACTGCTCTCGTCCCAGACTTCATTGATGTCCATTTGGGCCCCATTCCGGCCGAATTTAAACTCGTAAAACAATATTTTACGAATATCAAGCATTGACATCTTAGTAAAGACTGAATTATTTCTAAGCAGCGAAATGCTACTGATGCAAACAAACATTATCGTTTAGAAGGAGATTAATAAGTGTTGATCTTCATAAAAATGAATAATCCAGTAAACGTAAACTGTTTGTTATATAGAGGGATATTTTAATGAAAAATTAAAATCTGCAGTTTCCAGACAACCCAATAGAAATATTTATAGGGATAATAGCAGAACTCAAGAGCAGCAAACAAAGTTTACATAAACAACTGTCCGATTTTTAGCAGAATATTAGAAAATACAGTTTTTTATTTTTTGAATTAAGTTTATCGATTAAAAATATCTAATTTTTTTTCTATATTATCCGAAGTTTCCAAGATCATAGAGATTTGTTCTAAAAAACCTATATTTTAATTTTTTATTTATTTATTTATCATATAATATAACATTGGTTATAGGGATGTAAGATCACATTCACACTATATGAACAACAAAAAGTATATAAGCATATAATATAATTTAAAGATAAATAAATAAATATTTGCTAAATATTCCAAGCCCACCAATAGGATTTCGGTAAAAATTATGGTATATAATTTTTTTTTTAAATTATAAAAGCCCTTATAAAAGCCCGAAAACTCAACGTTTCAGGGCTTTAAAAGGCAAGTATGTCCGCATCTTTTAAAACACAATTTATTGCTTCTCGATCTGTAGACTTTTGAAACCATCTGAATTTTAAAACCCCTAAATCATTTTTATTGTAATTATTTTAACGTTTTAAGTTTTGAAATGGGGATTTTTCAATAAATTTTCTTTCATAAAAGAGAAAAAAATGCATAGAAATTAATTTTTCTTGAAAACGGATATGTACTACCTTAAGTACATTTACAGAAGTTAGCCCTTAATCAATTTATAGTTGGTTGCAAAAGTAGAAAGTTAGTTCTGTATTTGATTGAAATTTGTTTCTGTATTTAACATCAGAAAGTTAATGAACCAACAAACAAAACTTACTTTACGTACCTCTCTCTGAAATTTTGGAATATATTTCGAACATAACCAATATGAAATACTAAAACTTTGTCTCACTGTTTGACCAGCATTAAATTATACTAGTCGCTCATAAAATTATATTTTGTCTTAAAAATGACATTTTTTAAAACTTGGTATATTTTAATTCAAGGACAATTTAGAAGTTCTGAGTGAATTATATTTTTAGTATATTTTCTGAAGGTGTTATATAGTTGTAGGTCACTGGCGTAGTAATCAACGACCCGTAAAACAAAAAAGAATATATGTATGGTCACTGGCGTGGTATTGATTTAATTATATGCAAAAAAAGAATGTGTGTTGGGAAGTATGCAAAACAAAAAATATTTCGTCGATATACCCACAGCTTTACCTGAGGAAGGGGTTATACAAAAAAATGATACCGAACGAGAATACCCAGTCACGTGACGAGAATCTTTAATTTTAGAGGCTGTTACAGCCTTATATCTTCTTTTACAACAAACAGTGAAGACAATTCCTTGCGAGTTCCATCATATTCAGAGAATTCTAATAGGTCGAACTTGAAATTTAAAAATATTAAATGAGAAATAAGGATTAATTTCTACTGGTTAAATAGTAAAGATCATTTGTTACTGATTAGCATAAATAATATTACGTAGGTACGAGTTTAAAATATATAAATTTACAATAAATGTTTATATCTTTCGATATATGTATTTATTGCCGTTATAAAGCATATTTATGATATCAAGCAAGTTATTAATCTTGTGTTATGTCGAGTTTAATATGCTTAGAAGTTTATTTCTACACTATTTTTATAGTGGCTATAAACGATACCTAACGTTTAATTTCCCAGGGTTTTCTTGATTGTGTGATGTTTATTTCTCTGTTCCAGTGCGTCATAACATAATTTTGGCCTTATAATATAATAAAGTCAAAAAGAATTTTTTAAATCAGACCTGTAATTTCTGAAATTAGTGATTTTTAACGAATATACTCTTTCATTCTATATATTAGTAAAAATTAAAAAAAATTATAATGATTTTTAAAGAGTTTATTAATGAACTCAATTAATAATTTACAATTAATTTTATTCAATAATCTAATTTAAACTTTGTATTTTACTATTTTATTGAAAAATAATTGTCATATACTAAATTAAATTAAATCTCATATTTAATATTATAAATTAACTCACTGTATCACTACTATTAATGTCCTTGGTCTTGACAAGATATAATATTACTCAATAAACAGACATTTTGAATAAAAAAAGAGATGTAAACATTTTAATGAAAATACTAATAAATAACTCACCTTGGTTTATTGGGTTGAATCCTACATAAACTGGATAATAATTTTGTATTACATAAGCACCAGTCAGCTCCAAGAGTGATATCAACTGAAACAGAGAAAAATATGTTGTAAATATACCATAAATTTTCGCCATGAACTTACCAATAGATTGGCAAATTTTTATGATTAGGTGAAAATTACCGAATTGCGATATGTTTGCGTTGCACAGTGGTTGAAGGTTGTGCATCCAGTTGTCAAATCCTTGACATCAATTGTCATAATATTATGGGGTGGAAAAAGAAAAACTTACAATGGATCTTTATATTTTAAATGGACAAGCTGGTAAAAAAAAAGTTGATCCAAAATATTAATTATAACTTTATGTTGTGGCTCACCCCACCTCTTTTCTAAACCTTGCCAGCTCCAAAGTAATTGTTTCTAAATTTTATAAACGCTTGTTTTTAAATTTATTTTTTTCTGTTTTTGTGATTGTTGAGAATAAATCTGACAGCTGACGATAAAAATCTCATACTTGATAGAATCAATTTTTTAAAAATGAACCAGAATAATTTTAAATTAATTCAGGAGATTCACCAACATTTGATAATGGTGGCATTATATAATAAACACATTGTTGAGTAACAATCGAATTAATTGAAATTCAAGATATATAATTATTAAAATTTTTGGAAATTATTAATAAATTAATATTTATAAAATATATTTTAGAATAAAAATGTATGAAAAAATTATACATGGATTATATTCAATATTAATAATTTCAAAAAATAAAAACATATTTAAAAATTACATGACTTCTTAAAAGTAAACATGAAGAAATATTATAAGAAAATAAGCCATTAATGATCAAATGTAATATTATTTATTATATTGATTTGGCCTTTTTTCTTATTTAAAAAAAATATTTATTGTATGAAATATTTAATTAATTACTAACTATATTTAATTATTTAATTAACTTTTAATTGCAATTGTAAATGTACAGGTAATTAAACCATACAGTGTATAGAAGCAAGTAAATTTTACATGTCCGCGGAAGTTTGAATATCAAGTAGATGGTGGAATAGGAGTTGTTTGAAGGAATTTGTGGACGAGGATTGGCGTATGGAAAAGGTAATAGATTTCAAAAGGATAGCACGAATGACGGAGGATTTGTTGAAGGAAGTAGTTTATTGAGAGAGGATATATAGATCAATAGGTTGAGATCTTCTGGTATTAAGAGAGTGGATAGATGGAGTTAGAATAAGGAGTTCTAGGATGTTGGGAGAAGTTTTGGTTCTGAGGACTTGGAAAAGGAAAACACTAAGGAGGAATTGCCGCCGGGAAGTATAATATTTTTCTGAAATTATTATATTGTAATGGAAACCTTTTTTTTTTAATAGGACGTAATAAAAAAATTACCGTTTTATAAAATTCAAGATTTCAAGGGACTATAAATGTTTTAATACTTACCAATACTTAACAATCCCTTAATTAGCTTGTTTAATCCCAATCGCTTTCTTAAAAAAAGCCTCAGTTTAGTTATTTTTTTCGAAAAAGAAACATGACTGTGTTATGCGATACGAAATTCTTGTAATTATAAGGCATTGCTGGAAAAAAATGTTTAGAGCCGCTAAAGCAATTCGTGAAATTATTAAATATGAAGGGGAAGGTGTCCTTGACCAGAACACTGCGCGGCGTTGGTTTGAAAAATTTAGCGTGGGAGATACGATGTTGGAAAGTAAAAAAGGCTCCGGGCGATCATTAATGGATATTGATAAGGTTTTGCAGGAGACTTGAGTCAAATCCGTCCACAAGTACTCGTGAACTTGCCAGGGAGTGTGGTGTGTCGAAAGAGACTGTTAGTCGCCATCTACTCACTTGGGGAAGGTGAAAAAGAGAAGTAGACTGGTTCCTCACGAACTTGCTCCTCAGCAATCAGCTAAGAAATCAGAAACTTTTTAAGAAAAGTTGAAAGAACTTTAGGGGTTCGAACTCCTGCCCCATCCACCATATAGTACAGACCTACCACCATCAGATTACTACTTATTTAGATCCATGACCCATTTTCTTCAAGAGAAAAAATTGACCATTTTGCGGAAGTTGAAATTACGGTCCAATAGTTATTTGACAGCGATCTCAAAGAATGGTGGGATCGAGCAATTGGCTGATGACGGCAGATAATAATGCCCTATACCTTGAGTATTAATTGTATTTTATATCAAAGAAATAATAATACAAATATTTTGTCATTGTTTTTCATACACCTTTTAGATAAACAATTTTTATATTTATAAAAATTTAAATATTATCTAAGTTACTTAAGAAATGAAAAGTCCTATGTTTTAGGTAAATATTTTTTAGATAAGACTTTCCATTCTGGTTTCATTGCTTATAAAATGATATTTTTATACCTACTATACGTATTTATATACATTCCAGCCTAATATTTTATTAAGTTTAGTAATAATAATAATAATGACTGTTTATTGCTATTAAGTAAACAAGATTGACTGACCTCGATTATTAAGTGCCTAGCGGCCTGAGGCCCTGAAGAAAAAAGTTGACAAGGAAAGTGAAAATGCTCTCGAAGCAAACTGAAAAACTCATTGCTAAAATAGAAAGTTTATGGTTGAGTCATGACTGAATCAGTAATTGCAGCGAATCTGTTCTGAACAGCTGAGCATGTCCCCGAAAAAAAACTACTTGTTCTAGCCTTTTCGAAAATACTCAGTTTTGGAAAAAAAAAAAAAATGGAAACGTTTAATATAATTGCAAACAAAATTAACTCATTGAAGTCAATCATCAAGTCATTGTAATGGTGTAACAAAAAAAGAATCATTTAAATGAAATATTTACTGGAGTTCTATAAAAAAAATATCTCTGCCAAGTAGTATACTTTCCTCATCATTTTTATAGAGTACATAAGTACCTGTATTTCAAGTTAAATGATTTTTTTTTTTAGAATTAAATAAATAAGACTTCCAGTTTTTTAAATATACGCTTATTATTAAAACATTTTTTTTAATAATATTTAAAAAAAGCAAAATTGGGTATTACCCCTTAGTTTTCGCCACCTACTGCAGTTATTAAATAATACGCAGCGTTGGGAATTGTCTGAAGCTGGACAAAGGCGCTCATTTGAAGCGAAAATCTCTCTTGCGCTCGCGTATTCAAGCATCTTCCTCTATTTATTAGTTTTTATAGGTCGGAAAAAAAAAACTGAAGATAAGAAAACCGAAAGGTGTCTCCTAGAATGGACGTGTCTTACGTTTTTGACAAAAAACATGTATTCCTATGCAATATCATGGTTGGAGGGTAGGGTAAGCTCACCAGTGATGGACACAGCTGAGGGAATTTTCGCCTTTTTTGGCTTATTCCGCCGTAATTATTATAGTTATAAACTTTTCCGTCGGTCGTTTAGAATCTCCAGCGTCTCCTTTTTCTATTTAACACTTTAAATTTGAAAAAAATAATTCAGTTATGCAGATATAATCTCCATTTAATAAAACAACAACCCATTTTTGCACTAATGATGAACACCCCAAAAATTCAATTGTTCTATTAATGGACAGGAGGTACCAGTATTAGATATACCTCGGAAAAAAAAAAAAACTTTATTTAACTATAAATATAACGATAGCATAAATGATCTACTTAATCCTAGCAAAACTGTTAGTAGGAAGGTATGAAACTGATCTCAAGAGCACTATAGAATCAATATTGATAGACATTTTAAATTTTCTTTTCGGAACTTTATTCATACAGTTGTCAATAGAAGGTATTGTTCATCAATCTAGAAAAAAAAAACTGTAACCTTTAAATCAACTAGAGAATTATAAAATAGTCAAATATTGCTGGAGTGGAACCATCAATGGTTTGGTATGAGAGAAAATAAATTAAGAAAAATCGTACGATATGTTAAACATCCAAGAAAAAATGTACAGCTATCACGGAGAGAAGAGGTAGTTCTTTCCCGCTTGAGGATTGGCCATTGTCGACTTAGCCATGGATATCTGATGAAGAAGGAAGAACCGCCAATATGTTCCTATTGTGAGTGTATGCTAACAGTGCTTCACATACTAGCGGAGTGTATGGCTCACGTCTCCTACAGATTTTCCCCAGACCCAGAACAAATATTGAGACAGGACCCAGACATGATATCAAGACTTCAAAAAAAAAATTCAAGTGACTAAAGAGAGTTCAGTGTGAATGTCCCCAGTAGTGGAAACACTCAAATAAATAAATAAAATAGGAAGCTTATTATTTATTAAGTCAAATCTGTCCGTCACTGGGTTCTCTGTCTATAACTGGTGCGTTCTCCGTAGTTCTTTCATTCTGAAGCCTTCTTTTAATTCATTAGGTTTTCAAAATTGTGTAAGGAATGTCGAAACGGGAAAATGATGGCGATAACTAAAAAAAAAATATATATATATATATATATAATGAAATTATAGATCTTTACTGACTAAACACAACCGAAATTGTTGAGACAAGTACTCAAGCAATTGAAAACAGGACAAAAATATTTTAAAGTTTCCTTAAAGAAACCGAAAACTCTGAGTTTTGCGCTACATTCTATCACATTCAAGATGTATTAGGTATTATGGTTCTGTGTGGACATTCATACCGTACAAATATACTAGGAAAATGCAAATTGAAAAATAAAATAATAATTGATATATAAGGTATATATATATCAATACGTATGTTGCTGATTTAGCCCAAGATATATATCCTTTCATGACTCCAGCCCCATCCACTTGCTTCTAGACTTGCTTCTTCCTCAATTCCTGGTAGAATATGGCTTCGTGTTCTTCTTACTTAAAACTGTTTAGGGAGTGTCTCATCATTGGGTAGTGTCTCCACAAGCCTGTTCATGTCATTGCTCTTGGTTTGCTCATATTTATTAGTTGTATTTATTGAATGAAGTTGTAAATTTTAATAAATAAAAAAAAAGATATATAAAATAGAAATAGATAATAATAATAAGAAAAATATATTAAAGAATAATGAAAAGAAAAATTCTTCATCGCTCATTCCTTCGTATATAAAATATTTACATTCAGGCTGGGGAATCACAACCTATGCATGCTTTGACGCTCTCACGTGATAAGCAAAGGATTCAAAGAGATTCCAGTTCTCTTTTAGCCATGTCACTTGAGGTATTGAGGACCAATGGAGACTGAGTAAGATAAGCAAAAGTATAGAAGGTAGAGAGGTAAAGACAGAATCTGATAAATGTGACATTACACTATTAGCACGTTGGTTCAACGTTT